ATCATTATCATGTTTAGACCAGGCTCAACGAGGAACAAACAGAAATTGTAACAACCATTATCAACTTGACCTCAGCAAAACGTGCAATTGAATTCATCAACATTGCATTACCTCAACTTGAATCAAGTGGAATCAGTGATAAACAAGCATTTATTGATGCAGTTTTAGAAAATTTTACGGAAATGCTTCCTGATACATATATTCCTGCAAGAGACTATGGTGTGAGACTCTACCAAATGCTAAGGGGCAGCAAACAACCTGTGACCAAGTTTTTGTCAGGTTTTTGTGTTCTCTGCCCTCACAGTATGACGGTGGAAAGATGTGTGTCAACGTACAACATGTTATTCTCCAACCTGAGAATGGCCACATCTGAAAAAACACTGAATGATAGGCTATTGATTCACTGGAATGGAGTGCCAACATCTCAGTTTGACCCCAGTCCTATGGTGCAAGAATTTCTACAGAAAAAACAGAGGCGAATGAATCTTCCTAATCTGAGTTCATATGCGGAACGTGACTTCGTAAAGAAGTTTTTTACATCGGACTGCTGATTGATAGATTACATGTATATAGTGGTATACTGTATAGATGAGTTTCACTAGCTGCCTGGCAATTATATATAAGTGAGAAAAAGGTGTTTTGACAACTTGACATTATTTTCTAAATTTGACCATCATCTGCTGCCCTAGAGCGAAACCCATATTTAAGCTAGTAGCCGCAATTTTATAGACTTTAGTAGATTTTTTTCAGGTCCCCTTTTTACGTTATTTTTGGTCCCTTGGGAAAGATGTCCCACCCAGTTACATATCCTTAAAAGAGGCCCTGCCCTCGATGAAACGTATAATGAATTCGTTTCTGTTTATGGCAACGATAAACGTTTTGCTTTTAATAATATGACAGTGTTTGCATGAAATATATGTGAAGCCAAATTGATTAGTCTGTAGACGGCAATATTTTTGACAGCGACTGGATGCATTTTAATTAATGTTCTAATTAAAATGTTAATGTTCTAATTTCGATACAGAAATCTTTCTCATTCATTGCGGTTTATTCTGATAAACGGAATGGCTCGTGAATGTATTTGAACATCTCAATTCTCAAGAATGAAAAGAAATCCAGTATTCCGCGCAATGATACGGAAGCTCTTTGATATTTTGAGCACTATTGTGATTTTGAGTTTCTGATAGGTGGGCGTGACTCAATAGGGCATTTTCCAAAATTATAAGGCATGCGGGCAGGGGTTTGTTATTACGAGGCCCACCTGAATAAAGCCTGTTCACAGGCTAGATTTTAACCAATGCAGTGTCCTGACCACCATAACTCATGATTGATCATAATACAATTTTCACCGGTGTGATATGAAATATGCCCAAGGCCCCATGGGCGACAAATTTCTTAGAATGTATGTTGTTTTCATCTGCATGGGCGTCGCATTTAATAATATAGGGAGCTTAAAATACACCAAATCTACGACACGGACGTGACATGTACAAGACTGACTGCCGCTATTATCACATTTTCACTTCACGGGTAAAAACTATGGATTATTGTTGGTAAACAAAGCCAGGTACACGAGAAAAACAAAGTAAAACTAGTCTCCAATTACTACCGACTGTTTTTTAGTCGCGTCCGCGTCTCAAATTTGGTGCACCTTAAGCTCCCTAATATGACATGGAGAGCTCAAGCAGACCAAACAACAGACAGCATTTAACAGGCTTACTTTACTAAAGTATATAATTCACCCAACAACGTACATGCTTGCAAAGAAAGCACTGTTTTTGGATCTATTCTAAAAGACCACACGAGTCAGAACACGAGTGAACACGAGACAACACGAGTGAACACGAGTCAGAACACGAGTGAACACGAGACAACACGAGTGAACACGAGTCAAAAAATTGTGAACACGAGTGAACACGAGTCAAAAACTGACGAACACGAGTCAAAAATGACGAACACGAGTGAACACGAGTCAAAAATCTGTGAACACGAGTCAAAAATGACGAACACGAGTGAACACGAGTCAAAAATCTGTGAACACGAGTGAACACGAGTCAAAAATCTGTGAACACGAGTCAAAAACGCATTCTTAAAGAGGCTCCCTACAGTATTAAGCCCGTAATGAAGGTCTGTACAACAGGTGGGAAATTTGTCTGAGCATGCGCCAGCAAAATGAGTCACGCACTTGAGTGGAATACACGCAACGCGTGTTTACAAAAAGGCACAATCGTGTAAATATTGCCAAATGTTTGTACAAAATACATAACTGTTTTATGTTGAAAATGGACATGATCTAAATTAATCATACAGAATTTTTTAGTGACGTTCTATTTCAGTACCCTGCCATTGTCTCTGGTGGCCTGTCCGTGCATGTGCATTCGATCTGAAACAGTTGCTACTTTGCTGTCGAAAAATGTCGAATGTTTACATAAAATTGGAGGCAAATCATGCATTTTACAACCTCGTAAACTGTATGAGCCCCTATTTTTACGCTTATACCTAAGATATCAAATAAAAATACATGAAACAGAGAACATTTTTAGAAATAGGCCGCCGGCTATGACTTGAAAAGTAGCTCAAAATTACATTTTTGTTGGACACATTTAAAGAATACAATTTGTTTGCTTGAAATGATTAAAAATATGATATAAAAGATAAGTAAACAAATTGGCCCCCATTTCGCTAACCAGTTTGGATAAAAACGGTCATTTTCAAAATGATGACGTCATATACAAGAAAGAAAACACAAATTCGAGAAATTTTGAAATTTGGCAGTGTAATTAGTTAAACACTCATTAGTACAGAAAAAAATTATATTACACAAAAAGCTGCAATGTTTTCATTGAAAAGTTATAGCTAATAGAACTTTTTAAAAATATGCTGAATAACCATTTTTTGAAATTTTTTGAATTGTGGTTCAGATGCAGGAGTTGTACCACTGTTTAGCACTGAAAAACAGCGGTGTCGAAGATAATACTATCAGGTGATTTTAATTATTTGTGTTTTTTAAATCTAATATGAATATATAAGTAATTAAGGTTCTAATTAACATTGTCAATATCAAGTCCTTCATCATTTTCATATGCATCTTTGTCATCAAAGTCAATGAAAAAATCATCCCTCTCAGACCTATCTTTGTTTTTGCAACTACCCGATCATTTACACAAATCAGTGCAATTCAGGTTTGCTTTCTTACATGAGCACCGATTAGACATGCAGCCTGTGTTGCAGGATCTCTTACACGCTATTCGGTGCCACTGGAAGAGTCATCCACTTGATGCATAACTGCCCATTCTTGATGTACCAGCCATGTTCATCTGGACTTCCTGCAGTTATCATTTGCACCATACATTGACGTCTGACATAGCTTTCGTAATTCGCACAATGTATATGCTGCATGCACTAAGCTGCCTGACGTGGGTGGCAGTGTTTCTTCAGTGCAATTTCCCATTCTAAAAAGGTTATGTCGAGCATTATCCACATCGATCTCATTTTCTTGTCCGTATAAGTGACAAACAAACTTTTGTAGATATGACATTGTGCCCTGATCAACTGTCATTTGTTTGCCCAGATCTTGAAAGGCACGAACATACTCGACTTTACTGCGTGCAACTTTGAGTCATGTCGCCTTTCCTTTTCCAGTAAAAGAACACGTTGAATTAGATCCTGAAAGGGGAATTTATAAAATATTAATGTTATATCTGAATGGTTGGATGTAAAAAAGCTCACAATTTGACCAGAGTATGAAAGGTGATGAAAGTTGCAACCTCTGCGCGCGTTTGAACGTCGACTCTCATTTAAACGAAATCTGGTCACAAACCCGTGAACCAATGAAATCCCAAAATAGCATCGCACCACGCTTCGCCAAGTTGCTCGGAAATATTATTCATGTCTAGGATCCTTCTTTTGTTGTTGAACCATTTGTTCAAACACTTTAAACAAATCATTCATAGACTTGATTTTTTTGCCTTGTATGATTTTCTTTTCCACTTATACTCACAAAATGCATCAAAGGAATCTTTATATACATGGTGTATAAAAAAAAACGGAGTCGTCCTAAATATCCTTATTTCTATCGTAAAATAAACTACCATAGTTTCGCTTAGTGCTCAATTTAAAGCTTGTTTTTTCATCTTTCGAATGAAGGGTTTTTTGAAAATTTTGAACTAAGGCTAATCGCAATAAAAAGAATTTAGTATACAAGCGCTCGTTTTTAGATGCTTCCAAATATTAATCCTCGAAGTCCCTTGGGACTTAATTAAAGGTAGTTTGCTAAAATTCAGAGCGTTGTTGTTCAAAACTTTATAGAATCGCCATTCATAATGCCAAAGCTAACAATTCCGGAAAGAACATTCATTGTTGAAAAGTAGTTCGAAACAAAAAGCCTTGTTGCAGTGTTAAGACAATTTCAAATAGCTTTTCCAGGAGGTAATCGTCATCGAGCGTTTGGGGTAATGTCAACAAATACCGGCTATACATGCATATTTGAATGGAAGAACCACCCCAAAAAGTTTAAATCGAAATAAAGGAAACTCGGGAAGAAGAATAGTTGTCTTGGATATGAGACAAAGAACGAACTTGTGTGAACTTAGAGGTGGAGGCCACGTTGAGTAAATGTGTACTTCCAACTTATTTTTTTGGAACGTTTAAATAAATTGTGAATTCAACACATCTACGTTTTTTAATTTTCCAATTGCACTTACTTAAATTGACACAGCTCGCCAGCAAATAACTCCAAAATTTTATAAAATAAAGTATATAAAATAGCCGAAAGATCGCGATTTCGAAAGAATACAAGTATAAACGTCTAACTTTCATATTCGCTTTGAAATTCACACTTCATGTGAGGACTCCGTTTTTTTTTATACACCCTGTAGTTCCCTGCTACAACCATCTGTCTTACTGTTATAAAATACAGGAAATAAACATCAATATTTAAACACTGTTTTTCCTGGCTACGACACCTTTAGGATAAACAAATATATTTGGCAGCTGATTCACTAACTTCGCTTTCGATATCGCTCTCTGATGCAGTGATGCTGGTCATGTATTTCGTTCTTGGGATTCCATTCAGACTTCTCCAACTTTGATACGTTCGCCACTTTACGATAACATTCCAAATGGAAATAATAGCCATTGGCAAAACTTTCTTTCTCGCCTTCATTCGAGATTTGAGTAAACTGATTTTCATAATTTTCGGATATTATTTTGTGCGAGTTTCGACACACATCGCCAACATTATTACTCAAATTTGTCCATCTTTTTCTTAAGGTAATAAGCTTTTCAAATGTTTTACTGCTAAAGCTTTTTAATTGTTCATATTTGCTCCCAACGAAGTGCACAGCACATTCTTTGCTTGTTATGGTAGCCATATTGTATTGTCCTCTAAAATAACATTGGCCAAAATATGCCAAACAGGAAGTACTGGCTGCAAAAAGTGGATTTTGCTGAATGTTATGAATTGCGATCAAAGACAAGTAAACAATATGGCGGACAACTGAGAGCGATAAAATACGATTTTGCATCGCTGATCTTTAAGGAAACTGGTTGGTTAGCACGGGGCCACTTTTTAGAATTTTGTTTGTGCGGTGCAAAACAGCACTTTGACGGAAAAAATATGTATTCTTAAAATGTGTCCAGCAAAATTAAACAATATCGGACCATAGCCGGCGGCCTAAAAGTTTATCGTGAGGCCACGGCCAGTTTTTAAAATATCTTTATTTCTGTTCCGGTCATCACCAAAATTACACTAAAGCCGGGCTTGAATATATAACAAATTTTGAATCTCATCAAGTACAAAAATATTTAACGTGTAACCAAAATATGCTCATGAAATCGAAATTAATAGCTAAATTTCAAACTAGACCCTTCTCGAGCCGGGTTTCATGAAGGAAGTTCACATTTCGGCCTTTGATTCTTGGCAAAAATTTGACCACAACACGTGCGAAGCAACTGGGTCTCAAAGACCCAGCTAAAACATTGTGAGCCCCTATTTTCCTGACGATATGTTTGATACCTACAAACGCCGAAAACAGTTTTCTTTTCATTTAGCTTTATTTGAAATTGAGGTCACGGGCTATTTTTGAGAAAATACAGTTCAAAGTCAAGCTATTTTTACATATTTTCAAAATTTGTCAAATTTCGCGAGCTTGTATTTTGAACTTAGACAGCTGAAGTTACATTAAGAAACATAGGATGGAAAATTTGAGGCATATAAAGTTTATTTCAACTTACATTTCATTCTCATATCACGTCTTTCTTCGTTTTTTACGGTTTTAAACAAGCCACAGATCGACGTATACGGTATTTACTCCCATGTTCACGTCGCCATATTAACTTCTTCCAATCACTCGATTACAAAACAAATCATCCCAAAACAAAGAATTCATAGTCGACTTTTAAAAGAATAACCGTTTATTTGTAAATCGTTGAATGGAAAGCAAAAAATCGTCAGCTAAAACAGCTTCTTGCTAACTTTAATAACGATAAATTTCCCACCTGTTGGTCTGTACTGTGTAATTGCACGCGGGATAGTCAGGATTCTTGGCGGCCCACAGGATGTTGGTGCAGTAATAATAATTATTATTATAACGAAAACTTTATTCAATTTTAGTAATAATAATAATACTTATAATTATTATAAATATTATTATTATAATTATGATTATAATTAAAATATTATAATTAATTATAATTATATATTAATATATATAATATAATTAATAACAATAGCTATATAGACCCAGCCGCGGCAGACAATATCTTTCACTTCTTGCGCTTGGTATGGAAATTATGAAATACACACTCGAGAACATTTTCTACTTATCATATATATATATATATATATATATATATATATATATATATATATATATATATATATATATATATATATATATATATATATATATATATATATATATATATATATATATATATATATATATATATATATACACTGGATCCAGAAAAGTTTGACCTTCGAATATATATATATGTCGGCCATTTTGAATTTTCTTGGGTTAATTATACGCAAACGCATACATCAAATGTCGCTCGCAACGTACTGTATATTGCAATATTCCAACAGCTCAAATAAGTAGAGGACCATTGCTTGAAGTTCTTACACATATTTGTAGTAGCTATCTAATGAACATTTGAGGGTTGTTAGCTAATTAACTCTTGTCACAATTTGGAACCTGATCTTTTTGGCATGTCGTAATTTAT